GGGGGCAGTGAGGGGTGACTAGGCCAGCAAGGGGGGCAGATGGGGGTGACCAGGCTAGCAGCGGGGCAGTTAGGGCCGACCAGGCAGGCAGGCAGGTGAGCGATTAGGAGCCAGCAGTCTAGGATTGTGAGAGGAATGTCCAACTGTCAGTTTAGGCCCCATCCCCAGGATTGGGCCTAAACCAGCAGTTGGACATCCCCCAAGAGGTTCTGGATTGGAGAGGGTGCAGGCTGGGCTGAGGGGACCTCCCCCCACTGTGCACAAATTTTGTGCACCAGGCCTCTAGTATCTGTATAAAATCACTAGGACCTGTGAGTTGTTTTCCCCAGATTTTTCAGTTTTCTGAGGAAGGGAAAAATCATCTACATACCGTTTCCTGTGGGAGATGGTTTTCTTAAGGAAACATTGGACATGCTGCCTTCCAGTACAGATCTAAAAGAAAAATGGGGGTGGGGAAAACACAACAATGACTCTAAGAATCTACAAGGGACTCTCCATTTCTAACAAGACATATTTCTTTTCTTTTTTAAAATATTTTTTTATTGATTTCAGAGAGGAAGGGAGAGGGAGAGAGAGAAACATCAATGATGAGAGAGAATAATTGATTGGCTGACTCCTGCATGCCCCTTACTGGGGATTGAACCTGCAACCTGGGAATGTGCCCTGACCGGGAATTGAACCGTGACCTCCCGGTTCATAGGTCTATGCTCAACCACTGAGCCATGCCTGCCGGGGCCGAGACACATTTTTCATTGGCAATGACAAAGTCACAGTATCTGATATAATGAATACATGGCATAAAGTGCCCCCTAAGAGCCTGAGAGTTCATCTATTCCACTGTGTTCATTTTACAGATGAAGACACTGAGACCCAGAGTGTCTAGTGTCCCCAATGTTATAGAACAAGCAAGGGACTGAACTAGGTCATCAGTTAATCCATTTATTCAATCAGTAAATGTGCATTGGATGGGAGGAGGATGAGGAACATCTGTAATACTGTCAATTATATATATATATATATGAATGATAATGAAAAAATTTAAAATATATAAATATCCATTCAATGCCTATGATATGCCAGGCACTGAGCCAGTATTTGGGGGCAAAAGATGAGTTAGATAAGTGGCTAGCCAGGCCAATAAAATGAGACGTGGAACTGACAGCACGTTATGCAGAGTGCCCCAAGGAGGGCGCATGGCTCCTCTCAGGGAGCCAAGGTGAACCCAGGCAACTGAAGTGTGATGAGGAAGGAAGCAGCCAGGGGCATGGCAATCACAGAGCTGGGAACACTGATCATTTAGGTAACCACTGCTTGGGGAAGCCCCAAGTTTCTCAGCTATGACCAACCACCACTTCTAAGCTGTTAAGGGGTTAAGGCAAACCACAGTCCCAGTTTGCCTGGAATTGATTGGGTTTCCAGGCCTGTATTAGGCACTTTTTTGTGTGTGTGTGTGTGAGCCTCTTCCTTTTTTAAAAAAAATTTTTTTCTGTAACATACATTTTTAAATTTCAACTGATAACATACAAGACATATCGGGTTTTTAGAGATTTCCTTTACACATATACACATACACACATACACTTAAAATTATATTTATGACTATGTTAGTATAAAGATGAATAATTCATGCTGGCTACACTATTATATATTCATTATTATTATTATATTTATTTATTTTTTCTTCTGCTGATAAAAGGAATAAAAATTAGAAGCTTTTTGCGGGCCCCTAAAAAAATCACGGGCCCTAGGTACTGTCTTTTCTGTTTCATGGATAAGTCCGCTCTGGGTTTCCGCTAACGTGAGACTTTCCATTTTAAAACTAGAAAATTCTTGGGCAGCCAGAGACATCTGCTCGCCCCGGGTGCGGTGTTCTGCTTTTTGGAAAGTTCATCCAACTGGGCAGGGAATGCAATGCTGGAGGGGCATCAGCTCTCAGAGCAGAAGCACACCCCAGGCCCAGCTTTATCACATCCAAGTTCTGCAACTGAACCACTTTCTCTCCCTCGAATATGGGGCTAATGACACCAGCCATCAACTACATGAGGTGGTTGTGATGAGCCAATGAGTAATGCACACAAAAAGCACTTTGCAACATCGGACAGACTGTCAAACTACAGCAAGAAGGCCGGGGAGGGTTGGCGGGGGAAGTAAGAGGTCAACTGAAGGACTTGTATGCATGCATATAAGCACAACCAATGGACACAAGACACTGGGGGGTAGGGGAGGCCGGGGGAAGGTCAAGGGGAGGGGAAAAAAAAGGACACATATGTATACTCTTTGTAATACTTTAAGCAATAAAACAAATTTTTTTTAAAAAAGCACTTTGTTAAACAATAAATGCTATTGGTACTATTATCAGACAGCCATTTATAGGTATAACTTGGGGTGCCTGAAAGCGCCCATCTTTTTATATTCCCAGAGCAGGTGCTCTCTAGGTGCTGTTGTGGGCCGAACTGTGACTCCTGAAGATCCATATGTTGAAGCCCTAACTCTCATACCTCAGGATGTGAATGTATTTGGAGATAGTCTCTTTAAACGTTAAATGAGGCCATGAGGATAGGCCCTAATCCAACCTGGTTGGTATCCTTATAAGAGGAGGAAATTTGGACACACAAAGAGATAACAGAGATGTGTGTGCACAAAGAAAGGGCCATACAAGGACATAGAGAAACGGTGACCATCTGTAAACAAAGGAAAAAGGTCTCACAAGAAACAAAACCTGACAACAAAACCTTGACCTTGGACTTCTAGTCTCTAAAACTGTGAGACTACAAATTTCTGTGGTTTAAGTTCCCCGGACTGTGTTATTTTGTTGTGGCAGCCCCAGCAAACTAATAAAGTTCTTCTGGGGAAAGTGATTAAAACATTTCTCAGTACTAAGTCATTCCAAGAGCTTTGGACCACACTATCTCTGACCTGAGCCCTTGTGTCTTCAATGTCCTACCACACAGGGCAATTGTTAATAATGTAAATACCTATTAGCTGAACACCTACTTTGAACAGGTTACCTCATAGGCATTGTCTCTCATCCTCGAATAAAGTCTGCAAGATAGTTATTATTACCTTCATCTCCCAGATAAGACAACCCAAGCTCAGGGAGAGTAGGTACCTAACATGCCGAAGGTGATAAGAAGCAGAATCTAGTTTCTAAACCAAAGCCAAGTCCTTATTCAGCAACCAGAAATAATGCTCATCACGAATCTTTGCAAGTCCAGACAGGTGCCCTGGCATTAGAGTGAGAGAAGGAAGGTAGACAGCAGGGGCCTGCCTGACTCTTGGCATCTCTCTCTGTGGAAGTCCCATGACTTCTGCCTCCAGTGCCCAGCAGCACGAGACCCAGAGCAGCCTCTCAAGGAATCACTGCAGAGGACAAACCCTCACAGAGCAGCCTTCTCTGTGTTCTCCCTGATATTCTCTTAGCATATGTCCACGCAAACACTTGTACACAAATGGGCATAGCAGCAGCATTTAAAACAGCCCAAAACTGAAAACAGCCCAAATGCTCATCAAGGAATGAATGGATACATAAATGTGGTATATCCATACAATGGACTATTACTGGGCAATAAAGAGGAAGGATGTACTGATACATGTTACAATACGGATGTAGCTTGAAACATGTTAAGTGATGAAAGAAGCCAGGCATTAAACTATGACATTTGTATGATTCTATATGGATGTTATTTTTTAGATTTTCCTTGATATCCCATCTCAATTCTCCCTTTAGGCTCTGCTAGGTAAGGAGGAAAGTTCAGACAATACTAATACTTTCGGTGACTTTATAGTTATTTACATTTTATCTCTTTGAGTTTCCAGAACAGTGTTTTAAGTGTGACATAATCCCTATTTTGCAGATACAGAAGCTTGAGTAGCTGATGACTGGCCAAGCTGGGACTCAACCTAAAATTCTGTAGCTCGAGATTCATCATCTTTCCTCTATGCCAGGGACTCCAGATTGTCAGCACTTCCTGCAGAGAGCTGTCTAGAGAAAAGCAGGTATCTCCTCTTCACATTTAGGGCTTGCTCTAGTCAGATCCAACATTCTACAAGAGGATCTGGTATTTCTCTGCCTTTGGTAGCTAGGCATTCTCCAGAAGTCCTAGCTAAAAGGAATCAAATGAGATAAGACTTCCAAACAATATCGTGGCTGTTAACCTCCTTCTTCCTGCCAGTTACTAGCCTTGGGTATCCTATAAACACCTCACTAACTCCACCCAAGTTCTTGATGTATTTTCTTGGAAGAGTTTCCAACAAACCCACTTGCTTTCCCCATTTTATCTTGTTGCCTCTTCCATGAAAGTGCCTTGGCGTTTTGACCTAACCCTTCCCTTCTCAGGAACTAGGATGCCCTGCAAAAGGTAGGAGCAGCCTCCATGGGACCATGGATTATCCACCAGGACTACAGTCACACTCTAACAATGGCAGAGCGGGAAATTAGAAGGAGTCTGGTTCCTTGACAGTATCTTAGAGCTGCCACAATAGCCCTGGATTATCTCTCTCTCTCTCTCTCTCTCTCTCTCTCTCTCTCTCTCTGAACTTCTTGCAAGAGAAAAATAAGGCTGTTCAGGAGATTTCTATATTTCAGCTACTTAAGCCTAATAATGTTCTTTCTACCTGTTATGAGGCCACTGTGGAGCAAATAAAAGGTCTAAAAGCCCATGGTGATCTACAAAACATAAGATATTAGTGACTCTTTTATTAGTAAAACTAGAGGCCTGGTGCACAAATTTCATGCACGGGAGGGGGGTCCCTCAGCCCAGCCTGCACCCTCTCCAATCCGGGACATCCCTCTCGCAATCCGGGACCTCTGGCTCCTAACCGCTCACCTGCCTGCCTGCCTGATCTCCCCTAACCACCCTCCCCTGCTGGCCTGACCGCCCCTAACCACCCTCCCCTGCTGGCCTGATCACCCCTAACCGCCCTCCCCTGCTGGCCTGATCGCCCCTAACCACCTCTGCCTCAGCCTCCACAACTGTGGCTTTGTCTGGAAGGAGGACTGGATGACCGGAAGATGTCCAGTTGACCCGGTCTAATTAGCATATTACCCTTTTATTAGTATAGATATTATCCCTAGCAATATGTTTATTTGTTTGATGTTCCCATTAAGGTTCACTTGTTGAGTATCTACCACGTGTTTCAGATTGTGCCACATTATATATTTAATTATTCCAGATGAGCATTATTATAGTTAATTATAGGACCCAAAACTCAGAAAAGTTAAAAACCTGCCCAAGGTCATACAGTAAGTGGCAGAACCAGGAGCTGTGACTGTAGCTCCATGGGCTCTTTTCAGGACATGCATTATATGTCGCTCAAAGTATCGTGTAATAAGCTCAATACCAAACACTCGGGGAAATGTCCTGGAGTTCCAAAAGATGAAAGATAATGGGAGATCTAGGAATATATCCCAAGAAACTAGAAACACCAATCAG